GCTGGCGAAGCAGCAGCAGCAGCAGGCGGCGCCCGAAGCCCCGGAGGCGGCCAGAGGCCCCGAGGTGGGCGCCGCCGACGGCGACGGCGACGGCGACGAGGGCGCCGCGCGGGGCGTCGCCGGGGGCGGCGAGGGCGCCGCCGGCGGGGGCACGAGTAGGGCCTGGGCCGAGTGGGACGCGGACTCGGGCGGCGAGGACGACGCCTACTACGCGGCGCCGCGTGTCGGGGGCGTCGTGTGGCGGCCCGGGCCGCTCAAGGCCGGGGCGCTGAGCGCCCACCTGCCCCTGGTGGTGTTCCTGGTGTTCTCGGTGCGCAGCCCCTCGTGGGTGCTCAACTTCCTGCTGCAGAGGCGCACCGAGCAGGGCCGCGGCTGCGGCTTCGTGTTCGGGGCGACCTGCTGCTTCCGAGTGTTCCTGGGCTGCGCCTTCTTCTCCTACTTGGGCGGCCGCGCCAGGCGCAGGGGCCGCGGGCGCGCGGGGGCCGGGGGCGTCTTCGGCCCCGGCCAGGGCGCCCGGCGCCGGGGGCGCGAGGAGCGGCTCATCTAGCCAGCCCCTGCCCCGCTGCCGCCAGCCCCCCCAGCGTGCGCAGCGTGGGTTTCCATCACCGCTGTATGTCGTGTGTGTGTGTGGACACATTTTCCTTTTCGGTTGCCCTGTCCTTCGCTTCGTGCCCGCCTCGCTTTTTTTCCACACTCCCTGCTCTCGGGCTCTCTCGCTCGCTCGCTCTCTCTCTTTTCGAAAATTTTCCTAAGTCCGGGCTCGGGCTCTCGCTCCCTCCCCTTCCGCCCACCCCGGCCCCTCGGCGGCGCCCGCGGGAGCGGGGGGGAGCGGCGGCCCGGGGGGTGGAGCGCTGGCGTCGTGCGAGGGGTCGTCCCTGGCGCGGAGACGCCCCCTCTCCCCGCCTCGGCCCGGCCCGCATGGGGCCCCGGCCCGGGGGTGGGGGGCGGCTCCCCGGCCCGCAGAGGCCCGGCCGGACGCGGGCGGAGGGACCCCCCTGCCCGGATTCCCGGGGCCACCTCCCTCCGCCGGCGCCCGCCCTCCCCGCCGCCGCTCCTCATCCCCCCTCCTCCTCCTCCTCCTCCTCCTCCTCCTCCTTCCACCCCCCTCGCCGCCGCCGCCGCCTCCTCCTCCTCCCCCCGCCTCCCCCCGCCCGCCGCGGCGCTTTTGGGTCGGGGCGGCGCGGGGCCCCGGCCGAGGCAATAAGAACGGCGGCGGCGGCAGCGGCGGCAGCAGCTCCCGCAGCTCCTGCTCTGCTCCGCCTCGCCTCGGCGGCGGCCATCACCCCTCAGCTCCGGCTAGAGGGGCGGGGAGCAGCGCGCGCCCCTCGGTCCGGCCGACGTCTCGCTGCCCTTCCCTCCGCGCGCCCCGCGGCCCGCGCCCCGCAGTCCGCCCCGCGCGCTCCTGCACGGAGCCGAGTCCGCGCCCGGCCCGCCCGCCCGGCGCTGCCCCGCCGCCGCCGCCGCCGCCGCCGCCGCAGCCCGGCCGCGCCCCGCCGCCGCCATGGGCTGTCTCGGGAACAGTAAGACCGAGGACCAGCGCAACGAGGAGAAGGCGCAGCGCGAGGCCAACAAGAAGATCGAGAAGCAGCTGCAGAAGGACAAGCAGGTCTACCGGGCCACGCACCGCCTGCTGCTGCTGGGTAAGGGCGGGGCGGGGGCGCCGGCCGGGCCCGGGGCCCAGGGGCGCCCCGCAGGCCGCGCGCGCCGAGCCCGCCCCCCGCCCCGGGCGCGCGGACCCTCGCGGGCCGAGGCCGGCGCGGGGACCCCCCGGGCGCGGCCGCGAGCGCGCGGGGGCCCTCCCCGGCCGGCGCGCCCGCCCCGAAGTCCGTCTGTCCGGCTCGCGCGCGCTCGCCCGCTCGCTCTCCCTGTCCGCGCGGCCTACACGACGCCAGGGGCTTGGGTGCGTGCTGCGGAGGGGGAGGGGGAGGCCCGCGGGGCTCCCGGGACTGCGGCAGAAAGAGGGTTTCGGGGACAGGAAATGGGGTGGCGGGCGGCGCGGGGGGGGGGACCCGCCTCCGCCGGGGGTGTCTTTTGCCGGGCGAAGGGGCCGCGGGGCGGGGGGCGGTGACATCAGCTCTTCGCCGTGGCGTGGAACGCGAAGGTGGTGTGGGGCGCGGCGCGGCGCGGCGGGGCGGGGGGGGTGCCGCGGCGCCGTGGGAGAGGAGGGCGCGCCGCCGTGCGGGGCGCGCGGGGCCGGGCGCGAGACCCCCCCCCCCATCGCGGCAGTGCGCGCAGTGCCCACTGAAGCCAGATGACACGTCATTTTACAGTATGACCTTTTTTTCCCCTTCCAGACTTGCAGGCTTTTTGAAAAAGCAAAGAAGAGAATTAATTGTAGCAGCTGCTCCCCCCCCCCCCGCCATAAACCATTAAAAACGCACTCATTTCCCTGTTAGTGGAGCACCTTGGGAGTGCTTTGTGAAAAAGGAAGAAAAAAAAAAAAAAAGACGTTCACAAATCAGATAACGCTGGAAAATGACATTTGTCTGTAAATGGCTTCTGGGTCTGGAAATGGCGTGGTTTTTCTGTTGTTGTTTTTGTAAATTGTCCTTTTCAAGGGGAGGGGGCCGAGCGCTCAGGAGCCCACTCTCCTCAGGTGGGAGGAGAGGAGAGACGTTAATTGGTTGTTTGTCAAGTGACATTTGGCTGGTTGGTTTTGGGCTTTTCTTCTGATTGCGGGTTTTCCTCTTTGGCAAAATTTAAAAAAAAAATGAAAAAGAAAGGTGCTTAGCTAAGGAGACGGCTTTTCCTCCTATAACGCTGCTTTGCAGGGAGGTGGGAGGGGTGCAAAAGAAGTATAAAAAAAAAAGGTTGAAATGACCAGAAAAATCACACGACCTTCATTAACATGGAAGTTTTCCACTTCCTAGGTGATTTAGCTGTCTGGATGAATTCGTGAATTTGCCAGAACACCTAGTTCATGGTCCCTTTTCCACAGGGCAGCTTGATTAGAAAGAGGAAGCGTGCAAAGCTGCTCTCTCCCTGAGCTCCGTTCTTTTCGGATGGGTCACGTCTTTGTTCTCCTGGGTCCAGGTTGATGGAAGCAGGAAATTATTCATTAAGTGCAAAGCAGTCTCTGCAGCGTGTGTGCATTTGCAATTTCGGCCACTAAATGGTGCATATGTTGAGGTCAGATTTCTGAAGGTGGGATTGTGCTATGTGAATATTAATGTGCGTATGATTTGACTTCAAAGTATTAACGTGGAAAAGTCTAGACTCTGCACGTTATCTGCATACTAATTGAGGTGAGACGCTGGTGATGCCTAAGGGTGCCAGCCCTTCTGTGTGTCTCAGACACAGTCGCATCACTGCGGGCTGATGGACTCACCTTCCTGAAGTGCCCGGCCTCCATGGCTGCATTGTATCACCATTTATTGATAGCCTCTGGCACAGGAATCTGCAGCCCAGGCCAGTGACACACCACTTTGCATTTTTAAGTGGCCAATGTTGCCCAAATAATGCCTCCCCCCCCCAAAAAAAAAAAAAAAAAAGAGAAAACGTGGTGATGCCCCAGATCCTCTTTTTGGCCCATGTTAATTTAATGATGTAAAAATTAAATGAATTACAGAACCACAAGAGCTCTCCCAGTCAACACTTCGCCTCTTAGCGTCATCAGTGTGGAAACTGAGGCACGGGTGCTCGTGCCCGCACATGATCGGGGTCGCAGGTTTGAGCTCTTCTGAAATTAAAAAGTGGGAGATCCTGATCGATATGTGTTCTCTGTAGAATCTCCTAACGGTGCTTCTTATATTTTGATTTGTGACTTAGGCTCATTAAGAGTGTGCTTTGAAGTCAGTATTTCTGAAGGAACTAATTTTTAACTTTTACAAACCTGGTCATAGAGCTATGGAAATGCAAGAGAGGAGGAATGCCTTGCTATGTGGGCATGAAACAAAACAATTAAAACAATTAGAAGTAAAAAGTAAGAAAATGGAATGGGAGGAGCCAAGGGGACGGGCGCGCGCGCGCACACACACGCAAGATCTCCAGGAGGATTATTTGTGTACATTTGCAAAAATCAAAATGCAGGATAGCAGCAGCCCTCCGTCTAGCTTCATGGAAATGTGTGTTTTTCCTTCAAACGTGGTATTTTCTCAACAAGCTAAAGGTGGTTTGAGATGGGAGCGTGTGCCCTGCTCCGGGGGGCAGGGCTGGGATGCTGAGGTGCGGAGAGCTTCAGGAATGTTCTTCCTTGCGAGGGGCGCCTCGTCCACCCAGCTGAGTGGCGCTGCGGCAGCTTGCCTGTGCTGATGCGGTCTCCAGCCCCGGGTTTCACGCTAATGCGTTTGGGGCTTTGTGGAGAAAATGACAGATAATTGATGGTCTTCCATTTTTCTCTGCAACATGGTTGTATCCAGAGAGAACTTGACTTTAGAGAGATGGTGGGGGGTGGGGGGAGCAGGGAGGGGGGTGATAAGTGAATAAAAATGCATTACTGTGGCTTTAGGGGTGGGTTTTCCAGTGGCCCAAGGGGTGGGAAACCTGCCCAGCTGCGTGTGTGCGGGAGCCTGCGGTGTGGGGCATTGTTTGTAAATCCTGGGTATTTTGACCATGAAACATCTGACAAACAATGAATTAGGTGGCTGTCTACACCCATGTACACATTTTGCCGGTAAATACTTATATTTCAAGGAATCTGCTTCAGTCTTCAGTCCCCCCCCCATGACAGAATTGCGTCATTCCTTCTCTCTGCCACCCCACAATTTTTAAAACAACCAAAAGAAAAAGAAAAAACAGCCACAATCACGCGAAAGCAGCAGCAGCTTTAATTCTTGTTTGTTACTCTGATGGTGAAATACTGCAGGTGGACATTAAATCACTTTCTCTGCGTCGAAATGTCAAGGAAAATGGCAAGTCTGTTGTTCTGTAATTTATGTATTTTTTTGTGCGTGTTGCTTCTATGGAGAAAACAAGCGGCGGCGGCGGCAGCGGCGGCGGCCTGTCCCGGCCAGAGCGCTGCTGGCCTCCCCCGTAACCTGAGGCTTACTTTGATTTTCCAGGTGCTGGAGAGTCTGGTAAAAGCACCATCGTGAAGCAGATGAGGATCCTGCATGTTAATGGGTTTAATGGAGAGTAAGTGTCGAATCTGTGCCAGGGCTCTAAGAGTTAAACACGTTTGTTACTGACCTTGAGGAAGTATAGGTGGGCGTGAGGTGCTAGGCAGCCAGTTTGCACTTAACCTTAGCCTGTACATGTTAGAAGATCCTGGGGGAGCTCCTTAGGGCATCTCCCCACCACCACCCTCACCTTGAATCATTGGTGCGACAAATAAAAATAATAGTAAGGTGCCCCTTTCCACTGAAAACCTCTCCCCGCCCCAGGAAAATAATGCCTGGTCGCAGAGGGCTGCTAACAGCACTTGGCCCCGAGACAGCGCCGCAGAGGCCAGGTCTTCTGCGCGGTCCCCAGGGTGGCTGGCACCCGCCTTGGCCGCCCCCTTTCCCACCCTGCTGACCACTGCAGTGCCCCCCCCCCAGCGGATTGCAGCATGGTGCACCAGGATATTGGGAACATGGTTGCAGGAATGTGTGCACCTCAACTTGGAAGTGGCAGCCTTGTTAACAGGTCCTCATTTTTTTTTTTTTTTTGCCTACTTTTGAACATTAAGGGCAAATCGTTGTTTGCCTTTGTTAAAAATCAATACTTGTACCTGAAAAAATGAAGCTTTTAAATGATGGAAAGCCTGGGGGTCAAGGGGCATTTTTGCCTTTGAAAATCGCAGGCCTCCAGCGGGATAGCACAATGCTGCAGTGAGAAGAAAGGTTTTCGAGGGAGCGCACATATGTCAGGGCCCCCGCTTGTCATAAAGAATGCGGACAATGGGGAGGGGCAGTCGGTCAGGAAATTCGCTTTTCCTCCCTGCAGAAGTCCACGTCTTCGCGAGGGTCAGCCTTGCTGGACACGGGCAGCTGAAGGCCCGGGTCTGTGTTCGCCAGCTGCTTAGCAGCCCCCGCCTGCGCCTAAACCCGAGTTCAGTGGAAAACTCGGCCCCTAAGTTGCAGTTACCTCCATTCCAGAAAAGGAGATTAAATCAGGATGGCTCGCTCCAACTCTGAACTGCACAGATGGCTCCATTGTCGCCCTACTAAGCACCGGGGAGACAAAGTGCATTTTATTGCCTTTCAGAGCACCCAGGGCAGCTCTGGAAAATTCTAGAATTGGTTAGATCAAATAAATAATCAAATAGAAAAGGATGACATCACCCATACAAGTGGCCGTTTCAGGTTTATGTTTTAATCTTGAGTTTCGAAGGACCGGCTGATTTAACCCTATTTAGGTGACCCTGTGAGTCATCGGTGTGCACGTAGGTGCTACTGAGGCACTTTGAATTGCCACAGATTGAAAAATTCTGAAATCCTGAACTCCTGCTCAAGGGACGCCCAGCCAACAGAGGTGGCCACCCTGGCAGGAAACGGGCTAGGGCCCTGAACTTGTCATTTAAAGGAAAATCTCGAATAAAAGCCCCCCCCCCCCACCTCCCAGGGTGGGCTTCTTTATGAAGCTGGTTAAGCAGAAATAAAAATTTGACCGTGCACCCTCTGGATAAATATTTTTGATTAAAACTGGACATGGCTAGCGTTTTTAAAAAGATGTAGCAGCCACTGTTTACGTTAGCCCGAGTCGGATGGAAGATAAGTCACCCTCGGAAAAAATTATTACTCCGCCGACCGCCATCAGGTTCTGAAATTGTTACCAAGAGGATTTTCCTTCCTTTTATTCAAGTTGGAGCTCCTCTTTCCTATTTTCTCTTTGCCCAGTTGGCCGCCTGGGCAGCCGCGGCCCTAGGTAGTGTCTCCTGTGAGTTAAATTTAGCCCGTGACAGGACACGGGGGTCTCCTTCCTGGGGGTCTGCTGCGCCTCCTCGCTCTCCTTTCCCTCACTGCAGTGTTGCAGAGAAAGCCGCCTGGCTCCCGGCGCTGGGAATTCTCTTCTGTGACCGTGACATCCAGGCCCGGAGTGGGCTGCGGGCAGGATGTGGGGCCGGCCCTCCCCCCGGCCGCCGCTCTTCCTTGGGGCCTGGCTCAACTGTGAAAATCTCCCGCAGCTGTCCGCAGGCTGCCTTGTGATTACATTTTTAACAGTAACATAAAATTTGACCTTCATAGATACAGAGGTCGAACGTCCGTTTTCCTAACTCCAGGCTAACTTTCTTCCTTATATTTAGTGCCAGGGGGAAAAAAAAGCACCATTAACATTGGCTAAGCTAATCAATCACAAACACCCCCACCACCACCACCCAGGCTCAGCCACCCTGCCCTGCCACCTACAAGGAGCAATTTCTGTTTATGAAGATTGGGTTTCAAGGTTTTGTGGTGTTTTGGGGGTGGAGTGGGGGTGGGGTGAGCGTTAGTGGGGTTTTGGTCTTTTAAATGTTTTCTTTTGCTGCCTCACGGTCCAGACACGGTTGCAGCTGATGAGGAGTTAGGGGAAATGAGTGCCCGTATATTAAAGCATCTTCCAGTCACTTTTCCCCGGTGCAAGAAGCAGCCCGTTAATTTTGCACCAGGAACTCTTGGCCCATGTGACGCCTTTGTGTGTGTCCAGGCCGTGAAGATTCGGACCCAGGAAGGCGTACGCGCTGCCCTAGTCTCCAAAGAATTCGCTGCTTTAGCTCCCTAGTGCATGTGCATTTAGTGAGAGCACAAGAAAATAATTATCCGGCCCTCCTGTGCCCGACCGCAGCCTCCAGAGAGCCGCGTTCGCACCGAGGCCGGGCGCTCCCCGACGGCCGGCGTCTCAGCAGACTGCCGGCGGCGCAGCCGGAGGCACCGGGGCACGAGGGGGAGGATGGCGCCGAGTGTTGCATTTGCTCTTGGCCGGTTGTGTTGGAATGTGCAGAGGCTGTGTGGGGTTTGTGTGAAATTGCCGTGCCTTGCAGATTAGGTGAGCTCTCAATCTCTCTTTAAAAGGGGCGGCGAAGAGGACGCGCAGGCTGCCAGGAGCAACAGCGATGGGTAGGCACATGCAAAACCAGAAAATGTTGTCACTCACACACACACCACACACACACACACACAAGCGCACACACACGCACACGCCAGACACGGAGAACATACGGGGAACCCAGGACACACACACCGGGAAGGAGCTACAAACCATCCGTGGGCCATCAGCCATCTTGGTGGACAGTTGCAGATGACACACAAACAATTCAATGTCTTCGAGCAATTGAAGCGCAAAACATCATTTTTTTGGCCGTGCCTAAAGTATAATTAGAGCCAGCTGGGGGAAAGTTATAGATTTCAGCTTTTAAACAATCAGGTTAGGATTTGGGGAATGATGTTTTTCCATATGGTTTCTATCTTTCCCCCAGTTCTCCATTTGAATCGGCTACTTGTTTTTAGAAGTATCTACTAAATTCCATCCACCCAGTGGTTGGTCTGAATTTTGTCTGATTTTTTTACATTTCAAAAAAAGCAGGGCAGGGTAGTGGGGGGAAGCTGGCTGTCTTCCTGAAATCCCCAGTGCCGGACCGGCCGTAATTTTGAAAAGCGCCTTGGCCACTTGCGGCCTGCCTTGGTCATAGTCGCCTCGGGAAGCCTCTGGCCTGTTAGAAAATGATCAAATTTATTTTTATCCAAGGTGCTTCACGTGAGCTAGCGGATCAGGAAGTCCATGATGGCTTCCAGTTTTTTTCCATCCATCACTGCAAATGGTTTTCTTTTGCTTCCTACATCCGCACACCCATCACACGCACAGACACGCGCACACACACGCGTGCCAGGCACCCGGCTCCAGCTCTGCGTGCTGGCCATGCAGTGGGGGAGCAGCCGAGTCTTAGGACGACACACAGAGCCGATCGACTTAGCCTAGGGTGCTTCAACGAGCTGGCTTCTGTGATGGAGGGGCGGGGCAAAGGATCCGGGGTTGGGGACAAAGTAACTGACACATGTTTGTTCATCTGTTTCTTTTAGAATGTATTATCCCTAGATGGTGGCTACAGTCTCTCATCCTCCCGGCCATGTCCTATCACATTTGCATGCTGCAATTGCTCGTCCTTAGGAACTTCTAATAAGAATACTATTCTGTTGCCTGCAGGGAGGGGGAGGGGGAGGGGGGAAGGGAGGGGGCCCCACCACCTGTCCTTTCAAGATTCCTGAAACCACCACCACCACCAAAAAGTGGAGTGCAATTCCTGATTGGCCAAAGTGTAGTGTGCGACAGCCCAGACTGGCATCTCTCAGTGACTGACAATCTGCTGTACCAAAAGTTGGCATTTGAGAAGCGTGATAAGTCCTTCTTGAGCAACTCCTGTGTTCTAGACCCGCTAACCCCCGAGCCTACTAATAGCCTGCCTGCACGCCCCTCTGCGACTCTTCTCAAGCGAACACCAGTATTAACATTCGTGATAAATAAAACTCTCTGCATGTCTCAGCAATCCCTGTATCTTGCGTCTGTCTGCTGTCTGTCTTCTTTTGCCTGTCTTTCCTACAAGAGGTGTGGGACACCTTGGCCCCTTCCCCGCTGCTCAGCTTAGGTGGAGGGGGTGGGCGAGGAGCCCTGAAAAGCTGACCTTCCCCGCCAGGCCACCCTGTGCGGGGGTGGGGAGGGGCAGCCCTAAGGTGAATCTTCCAGCCCCCATTTTCCCGTCAATCAGAATTCTAGCAACTGGCATACGTTTGCCTTTGTTAAGTAGTTCAGTGACATCCGAGGGATTTTTTCAGAATTTCAGAACGTTAAATTCATTAAGCGACAGTAAAAATGATGATACACCTGCCAACCTCCAGTGTAATATCTCCATCTACATAGTAATTGCTTCAATGGAAGAATTTTATGTTTGAGTATTACACACCCGAATTAGATTTTAGATTTCTATTTTAGCTGTTTTATACTTGATATACTCCCACACCTATTCACATACGTAGATGACTGCTGAACACGTTCTCAAAATATCCGTATTTTAAGACTGGAAGTTTTCCAATTATCATACTACAACTTAGACCAAAATATCAAACTGAATGAAGGAATCTCGTTTCTAGAAATACTCTGCTCTGGCTCTGTGCAGACTTGGGTGTTCAGTGCCCTCACGGGTCTGCCTTGACTGCCGTGGTGCCGCGGAACCAGAGGCTAATGGCTTTCCTTGCCCGTGAAGTGGAGCCAGTTTCTGATGAACGGGGTTGGATTGGACCTGGGCTAGGGAGTGGCTAGTGTCAGGGCCCATCCAACACACTCCCTTTCCATCTCCAACTTGAAAGTAGCCGACTGGACACCGACCCCAGGCCTGGCGGCGCATCGTTCAGAAATCCACCTCGATCCGGCAGGTACAGAGCGGAGGGTGGTCCTGCAGGCCCGCAGGGCTCCAGCTCCTTCCAGAAGGCTCCAGGGGCCAGAGTGAGGCTTGGGTTTGGGCACCAGTTCCATGCTGGGCCTGCGGCTCCTCAGGTCCTACTTCTCTCTGGGGGGCACCTGAATGGTCCCAGGGGCTGCTGGTACTCCACCCCCACCCCCAGCACACACATCCCCACTGCCGAGGACTCTGGCCCTGACGTAGGGAGCAGTGTCTCGAAGACCTGCCTGAGGAGGCTCGATGGTAGGAAAGGGTGCAGTGGAAAATGAGACCCACTCCTCAGATAAATAGCAGAGTCACATACGCATTCCGAAGCATGAAATATTAGCTGTTAGAATTCTGTGAAGAGGGGGAGGCTGGGTTCACGGCCAGGGGCCCTGGTGGCAGCCAAGCCCATGACGCCCCTCCCCCTGCCTGCACCCTGAGACCCCCCCTGCCTCGCCCCTCCCGCACTCCCTGCAGCAACTCTGAGCCCCCGGCATGTGCCCCTCCTGAGTTCTGTCCTGGTGGGGGGTGGGGGGCGGGATTTGTTTAATTCCTGTCTCCCTTCTGTGACTGCTGCCAATCAGCAAGTCAGAGCTTCAACAAATGGGAATCTCTGGAAAGAGGTTTTTACCTCGAGAGCCAGAGAAATTGCCCCTCCCGACCTGCCTCCATGGCTGGGCCTTTCCCTCAGTTTCCCCACTGGTGGGGGTGGGGTGAGAGCGCTGTCCTGTCTGAGGCCTTAGAAAGGTGCTGCACCTGTAAACCCCCCACTGAAATGGAGAAGGCAAGATTTGGGCCACGACATGGCGAGAGAGACCCCCAGTGAGATGTCTGTCCCTGTCCTCCCTCCCCCCCCAAAAAAAAGCAACCCAGGAGCTGCGTGGCTAAGCCTCTGCTGGAAGCCACTCTCCAAGGATGCATAGCACCAGGGTGGGCACGGCCTCGTATGAAGCTCCACACTTGTCAGGACCCCATAGGCCAAAGGGGGTGACCTTTACCTGTGGGCCTGAGGACTGGTATAGATTGTTCCACAGAGACCACCCGGGCCATCCCACACATTAAAATGAAAAGCAACCAAACCCTCGTAACAGAGGGTCCTGCCCCCTGCCCCCTGCCCGCCCCACCCCGGCATGCACCGTCTTCACCCCCTTCCTTCTGCTCGCATTGAGGGCCCAGGTGTGAAGCATCGTAGTGGGCACGACGGGTGATCCCCACTAGCTGCAGTGCCCAGAACTCACAGGGGCCACTCAGTGAATGATGGCCCACAATGCCCTGGGGTCTGTAATTAACCAGCATCGTCACCACACGCACCCTGGCTTCTGGGTGTGTGAATCTGGCAGCTGGTGAACCCCAAATCCTGTCCCCGTCATGTCTGTCGCTCCCCACCCCCCGTGCATGCTGTGGGGGGAGGGTGTCCCGGCCTGCGGAACGCATGGGCCTAGTAAGAGAGCAAGTGCGACTTCTGGTACAGTAGCCTCTCGTGACCTCGATGCCACTTTGCTAATCTGCTCCCTCTGGGCGTGTCCTGAGCACACGGTCAGGAGCTCATAACTTCAAAGCACTTCTACTCAGGCTCCCCCGATCTTTGCTCGGATCTGAACCCACACCTCCTTGAAGAACAGAATACTATGCTTTTTAGACTCGAAGCAGCGCGCTTCGTCGACATTGCGCAATATGATTGTCTCTCTCTTTCAATCCCACTGTAGTGAGAAGGCAACGAAGGTGCAGGACATCAAAAACAACCTGAAGGAGGCCATCGAAGTACGTGCCCACTCCCGTTGCCCTTTGTCCTCTGGCCCCGCCCTCAGGCAGGCCGTGCCCCTGACCACTTTGCTAAATCCTTTGCAGACCATCGTGGCCGCCATGAGCAACCTGGTGCCTCCGGTGGAGCTGGCCAACCCTGAGAACCAGTTCAGAGTGGACTACATTCTGAGCGTGATGAACGTGCCCGACTTTGATTTCCCTCCCGTAAGCCGCGTCCCGCCACCCCTCGGGACTTAGCACAGGGCTCCTGCCTCGCAGCCCCTCACTCTGAGAACACTGGGCGTCGTTGGGGCCGTGATCCATGGGCAGGATCTGCCCCTAGAGACCCCGGGTCTTGGGGCCCCGCGGACAAACCGCAGCCTTGAGTCCTACAATCCTCATTTTAGTAGACTGCACATTTTTATGGGGGAAAGAACCCTGGGTCAAGGCAGCCTTAGTTATTCCCTTGTCTGCGTCTCGGCACAAACAGAAGTGGACACTCAATATGGCACACCAACGCCACTGGCCGGTTAGCGCCTCCGGGCGCTGCGCGGTGTAGAAGCGAAGTGCCAGGTGCGAGATGCTCTCGTTGTAAGCAGATTGCCTTTTAGCATTTAGTAAGGTTTTTATTAAAAAAAAAAAATCTGTCCTTGCCACGTGGCAAGTAACAAAACCCTCCCACGTTATCAGAGCAAAACCGTAACAGAGAAAAAAGATCCTCTGCCGCCTTCCCGCGGGCCTTGGCGCTCGGCGCCGTTGGCAGAGGTCTATTTCGAGGGGTCCGTGACAGCTCAGGACGCTGTGAGGGGGACGGAAACCAGATGGAAAGATGGACAAGTTTATGGGGCCCAGAAGGAAGACACTTGTCTGCCCTGAGGACAATGAGTTATTGTTGGCTTTTGTTGAGCCTTCGTGGGAATCTGCGTGTTTTCGATGGGTTTCACCGCAGACTTCCACTACCAGGGAAGTCGTATGAATTAGGATGGGTGGGTAAAGTTTTGAAAATAACATTCACTTGAACAAACAATCCAGGCAGTAACTGCAGCGTGTACCATACACACCGCTGGCTTTCTCCAGATTCTAATTTTACAACCTCAGCCGGTTACACATGCATCGCAACAGTAACCTTCTGTCCTCCCGCTGATACCGGACCTTCCTGTTCCTGCTAACCGTCCCCCATCTGAAGCTGTTTTACTTATTTATTTTTTATCAAATTCACATCATCCTGGAAGGACACTTAAGCCCCAGCACATCTTACAAATGAAGTTTTTGTCAAGAAAAAATTATTCAGTGGCTGATTCTGCCCCTCCCCATGGGGGACATGGCCCACAACCAGTATTCCACCGTCAGGAGACGCGCGGGAGGTCATCGGGCAGCTCCAGAGGTGTTTAACACTTGGAATTAAACTCGGCCGTTCGAGGAACGGGCCGCTCCTCCCGAGCCTGGGTCCCGGTGGGCGGTGGGCCCATGGTCCGAGCAGCAGCCCCAGCCCCGGCCCGGCCTCGCCCTTCGTCTCTAAGCCCCTGTGTTTGCTTGCAGGAGTTCTACGAGCACGCCAAGGCTCTGTGGGAGGACGAAGGAGTGCGGGCCTGCTACGAGCGCTCCAACGAGTACCAGCTGATTGACTGCGCCCAGTAGTAAGTCCCACCCACCAGTCCACACACACAACCCGCGCGCCTGCCTTTAGAGTCATCGACCGGGGGGGTTCTCATCCCAGAAGCCCACCCGTGTGCCACCGGCAGGTGGAAAGTTCTAGTCCCATTCGCTGGTTTTACAATGCCCTCCATTGTACTTTTTAGCGCAGTGACATTATTTTGCATACACACAGTGATTACTGCTTGCAGTAACGGGATGTTTGCAGTTAATTAGCTCGAGGTAATTAATGGAAAGCACTTCCAAGCGTTAGGGAAGGGGGGCAGCTCTCGCACTTTGGAGAAAGGAAAGACGCTGTTTTATGGCTGCGATTCAAAGCCCTAACGGGAACGGTGGGGGCCGGCGCGCTTCCCCTGTTCCTTGTTGGTCCTTAATTGCGTGGCTGCACCTACCGCCAGGTGAGTGCCAGCAGCAGTGGCCGTGGCCCTCGTGTTACGTCCCCTTCACCTAGGTAGAGCCGAGTGTTGTGTTAACCTTGACTTCTGAGCTCTGTTTCATGTTGTTCTCTATCCCTTCCCGTCGGGTCTTGGTTCGAGGATGGTAAGTGGTCGTAGTGGTCGTGGGTTTCCAACCCCAAGCCGTGCACCTCCGCAGCACAGCACAGTGGTGGGAATGACCGGGGAGGGTGACAGGTGAAGGGAGGGTAGCAACAGGCGTCCTGCAAAGTCACCATGCACACCAGTATGCAACCCAGCGGTGACAGTGACAGTGACACGGCCTTGACCTGCGGCCATAGACCCAACCCACCTTCCCCTCCAGGAGCTGCGCTCTGTCCCTGTCACCTTGCCTGCACGTCTGAGAGGTTGCCTTTTAAATAGCTTATGGCTTCCCGCGTCCCATACACACAGTGTGGCAAGCATATGGTCGTCCGGGTCCTACAAGAAGCGAGAGAGGTTTCACTTGCTGATGCTGCACAAAGCAGTCGCCGTGCAGGTCCTAGGAAGCCCTGGCGACTGCCTTGGCCAAGGAGGGATGCACTGTGGGGCTCCCACCTGCAGATCACACATGCGCTCACGTCAGGGTCTCCAGGAGCTGTTCCCTCTGTCCCGTCGCAAGCTCTCCCCCACGTATCTGAACACACAAGCAAATGTGTCTGTTTCTCAAGTCCATCTCCTCCAGCGCCTGTGACCCCCACCCCCACCCCAGCTCCAGCAAAGTCCCTGATTTTTCTCAAAAGTTTGAACTGAAAGCTGGAAGCGCTAATTATAGTAACGCAAAACAAATGGAAATCCTGGAATTGTTTGCAATTTGTGTTTTGGAACCAAGTCAGAAGTCAAGTACAGGTACCAGATGAGGAGGGCTTAGCCTTCGTGGTTGTGAGCGCTGGGCGGGGCGCCGCGGCCATTTCGTAATTAACAAAGTTTCTCCAGGTGCCCTTGGCGTTGTCATACTGCTTTAAAAAGTGTGGTAGTTTTTTTTTTCTTAAGCCAGATTGCCACGGCGCTTGAAACTTATCTGCAAACAGCGCCACTGACACAGATGGTGAAAAGTTTTAAGGAAACTCAGAAAAAAAAAAAAAAAAAAAAGAGAAGCAAGCAGCTCAGAACTCTCGGCGTCTTCCTCCCCGGATGGGTTACACAGCCCCGAGTTTGTGGCGGCCAGCGCGGCTCTGGCTGCACCGCCGTTTGGTTCCAGGGGAGACACTGGTGCCGTGCCTGTTTCTTAAGCTGCCTATTTTTATTTGTTGAGCTGGAGTGGCCTCCCCCCCCCCCCAGGTCTCTCTCACAAGATTTGGTGCTGAGGATCTATTTATAGAACTGTGGTTCTGTTGCCATGGCAACGTGCTGGCGGCCAGGGTGGCTGGGGAGCTATTCCTGGCCTCGCGCTGTGATGTAAGATTGATTGGGCAAGGCAGTGCCTCCTCCAGTCCAGACGCACTCCTACCTGGTAGGCAGGGAAGGGGCCGTCTTACCGGGCTGCTTGACACAGGCTTCTCTCCCCGTGTGATCTTTGGGATTAGCCCACCTTAAAACCGTCCCCAGCCCCTCCCCAAAAGGAAATAAACAAACAACAAACAAAACCCGATCTGCACATTATTTTTTTTGCATATTAACGACAGCCCCCCCCCCCCATTTTCTCGCAAGTTCAGTCTGGTCAAGTAGCTCAAGCAAGCCGCCCTTTAAACCGAGAAGCGGAGTGCGCGGCCGGCGCTCTGTCTCGGGAGCAAGCAGAACGGAAGGGAAGTTTGCGTGTGTTTCCTGTGCTGCGCAGCCCGGGCAGAAGGGGCCTCCTCTGTGCCAGCCGCCTTTGTTCTTTGTGATCAATGGGATTCTTAAAAAGTGGAAAGGAAGCGAGGCAGGTTGTGAGTTCAGGCGCCTGGACGGAGAGCCGCAGCCTCGCGTTGCAGACCTCTGCCGTGTTGTAGTCTGGTGTAAGCTTTGGGTCAGCCGTGCTCACATGGCAAAGCCTGCGGCGGGCCTGGTGGGGGGGGGGGGGTCTGTGGCTCTGCGGCTTGCACACGTCACAAGAGCCGAGGCCCACCACTGTCCTGTGCTGCGTCGTAGCGCCCGTGGTGCCACTAGACACATTTCTAGCCCCCTGGCCCCTGGAAGGCACTGGTCTTACACTGTGCGCGCGCCAGCCTCTGTAAGGCCTAAGCTTTGCCGTAGCGACCCGGGCCCCAGCGCCCTTGAGTCGATGTAAGGGAGACAGACCCGGCTGGGAGCCCGTGAACACTGCCCTGTGTCTCTCCTCTCCCAGCTTCCTGGACAAGATTGATGTCATCAAGCAGGCCGACTACGTGCCCAGCGACCAGGTAGGCGCAGAGGCCCCGGGCCTGAGAGCCGGCCTCGGGCGGGCTGTCCCCGTGGTGGGGGGCCATGCTGGGCCACCCCCTGACCCGCGTTTTGTTTCAGGACCTGCTGCGCTGCCGTGTCCTGACCTCTGGAATCTTTGAGACCAAGTTCCAGGTGGACAAAGTCAACTTCCAGTAAGTGAGCGGTCCGCCCTGGGGAGGGCAGCCCGAGGCCGCGGGGGGCTGTGGCGTGACCGGGTGGCCCTCTGTCCCCGCCCCTGCAGCATGTTCGATGTGGGCGGCCAGCGCGACGAGCGCCGCAAGTGGATCCAGTGCTTCAACGGTAGGCGGGGGGGCTGTGCGGCCTGGGTGGGGGCGCCGGCTTTGCTCACGCCCGGGCCCCTTCCCGTGTCTGACTCCTGCCTTTGCCTTCTCGCGGGGAAGACGTGACTGCCATCATCTTCGTGGTGGCCAGCAGCAGCTACAACATGGTCATCCGCGAGGACAACCAGACCAACCGTCTGCAGGAGGCGCTGAACCTCTTCAAGAGCATCTGGAACAACAGGTGGGTGTGCGGCCGCTGCTCTGGGGGGCTCCGGGCCGGCGCCCCCGCGGGCAGCGCGCGTTCTCGCCGGCCTCACACCTGCGTCCCCTCCCCAGATGGCTGCGCACCATCTCCGTGATTCTGTTCCTCAACAAGCAAGACCTGCTGGCTGAGAAGGTGCTGGCTGGGAAATCCAAGATTGAGGACTACTTTCCAGAATTCGCTCGCTACACTACTCCTGAGGATGGTGCGTGCGGGTCCGGCGGACGCAGAGGGCCCAGGGGACCGGGCGGGAGGACTGAGCTCCGAGCAGGTCTGTGCCTCCCTCCGCTCTGCCCTCGCATCTCCTCAAGTGAGAAAATGTCTGTCTGTCTTTGCAGCTACTCCCGAGCCCGGAGAGGACCCACGCGTGACCCGGGCCAAGTACTTCATCCGCGACGAGTTCCTGGTGAGTGGCAGCTGTCCGGAGCACTTCCGGCTGCGGGGATTAAACCATCCAGTGCCTCCACTTTGTCTCTCACTGGGGCTCTCGCACCCCGGCCTTGCGGTGGAGCCGGCCAGCACCCAGCCTTGGCGCTTGGCCCCGGGGGCCCGATGGGGTGGGGGTGGGGGGCGCTCCCGAGCAGGTGCGGCTGACAGCCCGTGTCTGCGCCCACAGAGAATCAGCACCGCTAGTGGAGATGGGCGCCACTACTGCTACCCTCACTTCACCTGCGCTGTGGACACGGAGAACATCCGCCGCGTGTTCAACGACTGCCGTGACATCATCCAGCGCATGCACCTGCGTCAGTACGAGCTGCTCTAAGAGGGAACCCCAGATTTAACACAGCCTTAAGCACAATTATTAAAAATTAAATGTAGTTGTACAGCAGTTAATCACCCACCATAGGGCATGATTAACAACGCAGCCTTTCCTTTCCCCCGAGTGATTCTGAAAACCCCCTTCCCTTCCGCTTGCTCAGATATTCCAAATTTAGAAAGCTTAAGGCGGCCTGCAGAAAAAAAGGCCACAAAAGTTCCCTCTCTTTCATTAAAAAAATTAATAGCAGCAGAAATAAAGAATTAAATGAAGCAAATGAAGCAAATGAAATGAATATTGTATCGTGCAGCATTAAAAAATCAAAATAAAAATTAAATTGAGCAAAGGATGATGCGACTCCTGTGAGCTGTCTGGGGTTCCCAGGGGACAGTTCCCCTCCGCCACGGTCCCCTTGGTCCTGGCACCAAGAACCTGGGAGGTCCGTGCTGAGGCCCGGGCCTGAAGGCTGGTTAGAGGGGTATAAAACCTTGACACCGGGTGTCTTTGGGGGGTGACCTGATCTTGGGTTTCTTAAACACATGGTAGATGATACAGAAAGTCCCATCAAGGGTGTGTCATGTCTGACATGCTCTTACGACCCAGGTGGCGATGCAGTCACACAGTGTGTCCGTTTACTTCTTCCCCCACCCCGAGTGTTAGGTTTTTATGAGAAAATACAGACTAAACTGGGGTGGGGGTTAGGAAGGCAGTGGTGGGACAGACCGGGTGATTCAAGGAACCGAAACACTGGATCCCTACCTCATTCTGCACACTGGGGGCAACGGAATGTGACTGTCTAAGGACACTTAGAACATAGAGGTGGCTTCACAACTGAGGCCCTCACTTGCAGATCTCTAACCTTGACCAAGACCCCCAAGCCATAACGGGGGTGGGGGCAGCGCCTACGCAACAGTCAACCTCTGGTGGAAGGGATGGGGGAGGGCATTGGTGACACCGTAACAAGGCAGGTTCCTCAGTAAGTAAAGAGTTCTTAAGGATTCAATAAGCAAAGCCATCAGAAAATCGGGCAGAGGACAAGAACATACAACCCTCTTCATAAAAAGATGAATAACGAGTAAACAGTGGGAAATGTGGGCCAACACTGGAGAAGGAGCAGATGGCGGTGGGGTGGTGACGCACTCCAGCACCACAGAGCCCGGCGGGAGTGTGGCTCGGCCCTGACCTCCACACGGGCTCACCCCCAGTGTGTCCTGCTCACTCCGGTCCCCTGTGCTGGCTCCCTGGAAGGGTGGGAGGAAGCGGTCAGCACTGCCCACCCTCACAGCGTCCAGCCCTGCAGCCTCTGAAGGTGGCCAAGAGGGGGTCGATCGGGATCGTTCTGTAATCCAGGTCCCAAATCCACTTCTTATTCAACTTACAGAGCGATTCACTCATCCCGTAGAACTCACCGGAGGTGAGCAGGCAACCGGAGCGGGCGGGTGCCCCCATCTCCGCACACTCTCCAAAGGCATCAGTAAAACACTGCATGTGGCAGCCGTTGGCTGTGCAGATTTAAGTGTGAGGCAGCCCTCAAATGCCCCAAATGAACCCCGTCTAAGTAAAAATCAGGGTTTGCTATAGAGCCGTAGCCAGAGACCCCCCACAAATACCCGTAATCCTCCAAGGCCCCCCCAAGTAAATACAATACAAGCAAAAATCAGGGTTTGCTATAGAGCCATAGCCGGAAGACTCCCCACAAATGCCCATAATCCTCCAAGGCCCTCCAGATAGACACAGTCCAAGGAAAAGTTGAGGTTTGCTATGCAAATACTGCCAGAAGCCCCCTACCAGTTCCCATAATCCTTCAAGTCCTCTCAAATAAACACACAATCCAAGCAAAAATCAGGGTTTGCTAAGGAGCTGTAGCCACAATCGTCCAAGGCTCCCCAAATAGACACAACCCAGGCAAGAGTTGAGGTTTACTGTGCAAATACAGCCAGAAGCCCCCAGTGGTTCCCATGATCCTCCAAGGCCCAGGCTGCACTCCAGGCAGCAGATAGCTGTACCTGGAAGCCCTGTGCCCCACGCAAATCCCCTTCCAAGCAATGCTGTGTCCAGCAGAAAACCAAGACTGAGCCCTGTGCCCGGCCCTCTGCCCAGATGGCCACTTGCCTGCCCCTCCCCCAGAAATCCTGGACCCCCGTCCAGATCATCTATAAAGGCTGGCACAGCACCGGCCACATATCCATCAAAAGTGGAAGCCACATTCCCAGGCTGAGGAGCGGTTATGCAAGGGAGAGCACACCCCAGAATCCCACCTCGTGGGTCCTCACTGACAGCGATCTCTGTGGGGTTTTCTAGGAGGACAGCTGACGTCACAGTTCACCAGGTACCCATGTGTCCAGGGAGAGAGGTTCAGCTGTCACCACCATCCTGCCAGTGAGTCATGGGACAGGCTGCAGACTCAGATGGCCAAGGCCCACTGCTGGACCACTGTGTGACCCTGTTATCCTGGAAGACATGGGGGGAAGCAGGAGGGGTCTCATGGCATTCTGCGGCTCCCGTTGGCAGGAGCCCCCGGCCTGGGGCCTTGGGGAGCTGCTGCAGGGTTTCTGTGAGAGTCCACGCCTTGGAGCGTGTGTGGCGGTGCCCCTCAGAGGCCCTGGGTCCTGCAGCAGTGTTTGAGACCTGCGGGCAGCCTTAGATTGACTCTTCTCTTTCTAACATTTTTGTTCCATTTTCCCTGGGACCCTGGTATGAAATGTAACTTTTATGGTGCTATTTTAAAATTTAATTTCTGGGGGCGGTGCTGTGGCGTGGTGGGTAAAGCCGCCACCTGCAGCACCGGCATCCCTTATGGGTGCTGGTTCAAGACCGACTGCTCCACTTCCGATCTGGCTCTCTGCTGTGGCCTGGGAAAGCAGTAGAAGATGGTCCAAGTCCTTGGGCCCCTGCACCCACATGGGAGACCCAGAAGAAGCTCCTGGCTCCTGGCTCCTGATTGGCACAGCTCCGGCCATTGCAGCCATCTGGAGAGTGAACCAGCGGATGGAAGATCTCTCTCTCTCTCTCTCTCTCTCCCTCCTTCTCTGTAACTCTGCCTTTCACATAAATAAATAAATCTTAAAAAAATAAATTCTAGGATCTTCAGAAAGCAAAAAGGATTATGAAGAGTTTCACCTAAATCTCTGATTACAAAGCGCTTGTTTAAACAATTTTAAGCTGAATTTTAAGTCTATTCAAATGCAAAACAACACATTTTTCTAAAGGTACAATTTGTGCCACATTTTATAAAGATGTAAGCCAAATACGACATAAATTGACCTTCTTGGGACTAAAAAATAATAATAATTTTAAATCACCAGGCCCAGCCCCTCACAGTATCAGGGGCTAGAATCAAGCAGAATTTGTAATCCACCTCCACTTTTATTTAAATCGAAGCAAAATTATACCAAAAGAAACGGCCGCCTCAGCATACCTGCCGATGCCAATGGTGTTCTCGTACAATGTTTTTTGGATGGTTTTTACCATCATTCATCCAACAAATACAGTCTAGAATCAGTGCCAGCCAGTGGGACTTCGCTCTCCCGCGGTTCATGTTCAAGTGAGAACACAGATGTTTACCAAGCAGACAATCAGAAGAATTACGAAGGGGACGAGGTCTCTGAGACAGCAGGGATGGGGTGGGGATTGGGGACCCGGAGGCGTTTGGGAGGAATTCCACCTTGCGTGGAGTCGCTGGGCCAGGCCTCCCTGAGGACAGTTTTTGCTTTATGAGTTTTATGGTTGGGGGAGTCAGAGAGACGTGGGAGGGGGCACCTCCATGGCAACAGCCAGGGCTAGGCCAGGCCAAAGCCAGGAGTCCCCCCTCCCCCGCCGTGTCTTCCACGCAGGTGGCAGGGACTCAGGGAACTGAGCCCTCGCCTGCTGCCTCCCAGGGTGCGCGCTAGCAGGAAGCTGGAATTGGAAGCAGAGCTGGGGCCTGAACCCAGACACTCCCCCAGGGGCTGTGGGCATCCCAAACATCATCTCTCCTGCTGAGTCAAAGCCTCCCCAAACTGTTTCACAGAATTCGGTGGGGGAGCATTGTGGCACAGGGTTAAGCCACCCGCGACACTGGCATCCCATACGGGTGCTGGTTCAAGTCCCGGCTGCTGCACTTCCCAGCCAGCTCCTGCTAACACACCTGGGACAGCAATGGAAGATGGCCCAGGTGCTTGAGCCCCTGCCATCGGCATGGGAGACCAAGGTGGAGCTCTGGGCTCCTGACTTCCACCAGGCCCAGCCCCAGCCCTTGCAGCTGTCTGGGGAGTAAGCCAGCATGTGGAGGATCTCTCTCTGTCTCTCCCTCTCTGTGTAACTCTGCCTTTCAAAGTAAGTAAATCTTTCAAAAATAATAAAAATAAATAAGTATACAGAGTGACACAGAACGAGCCAGCCAAGTGCTAATATTACTTCTTTAAAAAAAAAGATTTATTTATTTATTTATTTGAATGTCAAAGTTACACAGAGAGAGAAGGAGAGGCAGAGAGAGAGAGAAAGAGAGCGAGCTTCCAAACGCTGGTTCACTCCCCAACTGGTCTCAGTGGCCGGAGCTGAGCCAACCTGAAGCCAGGAGCCAGGAGCTTCTTCCTCATCCCCTACACAGATGCAGGGGCCCAAGGACTTGGGCATCTTCCACTGCTTTCCCAGGCCACAGCAGAGAGCTGGATCGGAAGTGGAGCAGCCGGGACTCAAACCAGCACCCATATGGGATGCCAGCACTGCAGGCGGCAGCTTTACCCACTACACCACAGTGCCGGCCCCAACACCATTATTTCTGACTGTTGATTATTAAAACATAGCTGGCACTTGGGGACCCTGTACCATGTTCCAGGCACTGTCCTAGCTGCTGTAGATGGCTTACCTCATTTAATGCTGTCTTGCCCTGGGAGGACATACCCCACCACTTGCCTAGCAGGCCCTTTCCCATCGTGCAGACATTAGTTCAAATATGAAAAAGGCAAATCGTGTCTAAACCCTTGCAAATAATGTATGCCAGTTATGCTTTTCATTAAGGGTTACCCTAAAAATGCCATTGCAATAAGCACTAATTCGCAGGTGCCGTGGCTCACTTGGCTAATCCTCTGCCTGCGGCGCCGGAACCCCAAGTTCTAGTCCCGGTTGGGGCACCGGATTCTGTCCCGGTTGCTCCTCTTCCAGGCCAGCTCTCTGCTGTGGCCAGGGAGTGCAGTGGAGGATGGCCCAAGTGCTTGGGCCCTGCACCCGCATGGGAGACCAGGAGAGGCACCTGGCTCCTGGTTTCGGATCAGTGTGGTGCGCCGGCTGCAGCGGCCATTGGGGGTGAACCAAGGGAAAAGGAAGACCTTTCTCTCTGTCTCTCTCACTGTCCACTCTGCCTGTCAAAAA